TGATGCCGGAGCCGGAAGATGACGTCATCTTCCGGCTCCGGCATCAGTACGGTGCGCGAGGGAGCTGAAGAGGAAGCACACAGAGAGTGCTCCTCGCGCGCCCGCCGGGTGTCAGCAGGGCCAGCCTTGGGGGGGCCCTGACGTGGCCGCCTCCTGGGCCCCCCAGGAGAAGAGGCTGGCCCTGTGGGTACATACCGGGTCGCAGGGCCCCCCGCGACCCGGTATGTACCCACTGAATGTGGGGCCCGGACGACCTGAGCAGTCCGGGCCCCCCAGGACCGCCGGGCCCATGACAACCGTTACGGTTGTCATGCCCTGATGGCGGCCCTGGCATATGGTGTAGGATATACAAACTCTTAAAAACACACAAATAATCAAAACATATCTCACTCACATACTTATAAGTCAATTTTTGTTGACTCAGACTTTAAAGGCTTTAGTTAGACCTTTCTTCTGTTAGGTTCCATGATCCTTCCCAGTTTAATATCAGAAGGCGGTTTTTCAACCATAGTGTTTCAAAACACTTTTCAGAAAATCACAAGAGGGAGTGTAATAAATGGAGTTTTTTGGAATTGAGCAAAGACCATCGCAAGGTAATAATAAAGAAAAAAAAAAAAAAACTTATGTAGAAGAGAGATGAAATGGATGTTTGATTTAAATACCATAAATAACACCTTTCATTTAATATAATTATAGTGCTTTTTAACCCCTTAAGGACCAAACTTCTGGAATAAAAGGGAATCATGACATGTCACACATGTCATGTGTCCTTAAGGGGTTAATTGACCAATAAAATAATCCTGTCTCCTTCACCATTCCATCATTTCTCCCTAGCTTTCTTCCCATGTTATTTTTCTGAGGTTTTAATGTTATACATATTTTAGCAAAATATTGTTGTTTTTTTTAATATGTATTCATTAATATTTTATTCCATTAATAGCTTTGTTTGGTTTATTAGCAATATATGGCATCTACATTAACATAATATATGCTACACAAAAGTCAATTTTATGTATATGTCAAATCTCTCAAGGAAGAAGAACTATGCCATTATTAGCTTTATGCATGTTTTGAATGTTAGTTTTAAAAATAAATGAAACATGCATTTGTCCTAAATGACCATTTTTAAAACTGTTTCATTTGAGGTCTTCTTTCATAGTAAATGTGATGTTGATCAATATAAGAGACTTTATGAACGGAGGAAAGACCTTCAAAAGTCCCTACTTTATGGGCATTTAACACATCCAATATTGGCGCCCACAACGATCCCCGTACAAAAAATTTACTAACGTCATTAACAGGATGACGTATGCCATTTGTCGGGTGCAGAGGATCGGCATGGCAAGATGGAAGTAATTGGAAGAGATGAAGCGGAGCAGTAAACTGAAAAAGCACGCAAACTGGACCTATAGTGAGATGACTCCAGATATTAAAAGTAGAAGCTTTGGGGACTTTGAAAAAAACAGAATCATTGTTTATTTTATCTTGTTAGATTTTATCCATTTTAAGTGTTTTACTGTTTTAATGCTTTATGGTTTGCCATGGTGGATCAATAAAGCTTGGAACTATCCAAATAAGAAGTTGTTACTGGTGTCCACTCTGGATTCAGCAGTATAAGCAGCAGTGAGGTGACCTACTAAGAAGGGATCAGGAAACTGACAGAGGTCAGCTCTAGCTAAAGCCTTCAAAGTCTGAGCCAACTCAAGTTCACTCAGAAGTATGTGAGCAAGACACCTTTGTATTATTTGTGTGATAAGAGTTTTTATCTACTATACCATATGCCGTGATTTTGTTTCAGATTCTTGCGTTATGTCCTGAGAAGGGTAATATAGATGTATTTTCAAATATTCACTCAGTGTGAGTTAGTGCACTTACATCTGCACTTGTTTTATTGTTTTCAGTACTTCAGCAGCCTTATCCCCTACCTATAAATCAGTTTTAAAAATGGTTCCTGTACCATGCATGTAACATAGGCAGGTGTCCTTTAATTAAAGGAACACTACAGTGCTAAGAATACAAACCTGTATTCCTAACCCTATATTGCCCCTGTATTAACCCCCCTTTTCACAAATAAAATAAAATTAACTCACCTTTTTCCAGCACCATAGTTCCTTATGTGCTGCTCACCTCTTATGATATTATTGAGGAGGCATGACCTCCTCTGGTGATATCTAATCTAATGCTTATGGAGAAGCATTGGGGACCAGATGTGCACACATGGCAAGTGCTGACCATGCTTACAAACTTCCCCGTAGGAAAGCATTGTATTCAATACTTTCCTACGAGCTTCCATGTCATCAGGAGCGCCTCTGGTGGCTGCCAGGAAGACAGCAACTAGAGGTGGATTTAACCCTGCTATGTAAACATTTAAATTTTTAAATGCAGGGTTAAAAGGACAGGACCCAGTTTATGAGACAAACACCAACCTAAGACATCCATTGATACATGATAAGTAAATAAACAAACAGCAATAATCACGGTGTGACATCATTGTGCATACTGCACAAGATCTTGGTCTATAAGCTCCATATAAAATATATTTGGGTTTCCCTAAATAAGATAGACATACAATGGAATGTTTGCTATATGAAAAGTTATTTTGAAAGGTATTTCCATCTGATGTACTTTTAACTTCTTTGTTTACATGTCGC